TCACGACGAGGAGGAACGACGAGGTGATAATGGCCATGCTTCTGGCGTTGCTGGCTAAGGTAGGGAATGGTGTATGTTCGGGTGATTGTATAAAGAACGAGTCCGTGAATAGGATAGCAAGTATTTTTGTAAAAGCCCCCAAAATAGCCCCTTGATCAGGGGTGTTGAGGCAAGGAGGTTGACGATGCCCGAGAATAATGAGATGACAAAAGAGCTCAGTTGCTTTGGAGGGATCAATACAAATAACATCGAGTAACAAAATTGCGAAGTTGACTTATTCAACACAAGACATGGATCGCACAATAACACAGCAACAACCGTTGGAAGAAGAGATGTAAACGAGAGCTGAACCTAGTATTTTATGAATCCATGAATGCATCTGAATCTAGACTTTCTAGCTTCACCTTTGAAAAGCTAGACAGAGAAGAAAGCAGTGAAAAACGCGTGACCGCACGAGGTCGTAGTGAAGCTCTGGCCGATTCAGATGCCCCGGCCGTAATGAAGGCCATCTGCCCTTACCAACAGGTGTCGATCTGCACGTTGACCGAATTCCCCCCTTTCCCGTCTGCCCATCGCTTGCGATCTGCCCGAGTTCATCGTCAGTAAATTTTTCGATTTTGGTCGACTTGCACATTTCTCGTCATAAACAATGGCCGCCAACGCAGGCAAGCTCGCGATCGCGGTCGCGAAGGGCGACGGCATCGGTCCCGAGATGTGAGTCGCACTGGAAGATTCCATTGATCGCGGCCAGCGGAGCGCGGGGGGTGGGCTTGATCCTGGGTGCGGTCGGAGATTGAACGAGGGTTAGAGGGCCGTCGGGGGCCATGTTCCCGCGTTTTCGGCAAGGGATGTGATCAAGCTGGGATGTCTTTGACGATGGGATGCACGATGGGATGCGCCCGGGGCTTGATGTTTGCCGCTGGCACTTTTGTTCTTTCGTTTTGGTCGGAACTACACGATCATCGACCGCTTGCTCACCATGATCAACCTCCAAACAGCATGGATGCTACCCTCCGGATCTTTGACGCGGCCCGTATCCCCTTCCAGTACAATTTTGTCGAGATGGGGAAGGACATTTACCTGAAGGGCCACGGCAACGGCATGACGCCCGACGCCAAAGCTACAGTCGAAAAGCTTGGCGTTTTGTTTAAGGGGCCGATGGAGACGCCGAAAGGAACTGTGAGTGTTATCTTGGAGCCGGGGTTGAGGGGAGAGATGTTCGTTATATAGCGTGTCATGGAGACAAGGCTGACGCTGAAGCAACAGGGTGTGAAATCCATCAACGTCACCGCCCGTAAGACTTGGAGCACGTACGCCAACAAGAGGGTGTTCAAGACCCTCCCCGGTGTCGAGACCGTTTTCAGCAGGGCGGGAATCCACATTGACCTTACCCTCTTTCGCGAGAACATTGAGGACACATACGGAGGGATTGAGCACTACCAGACGCACGACGTCGCGCAGACCAGGAGGCTGATCACCAGGCCGGGGAGCAACCAGATTCATAAGATGGCGTTTGAGGTTTGTATATTTTGTCCTCTTACGTTTGCACGCGGAGTTCACGCGACTGGTATGAACAGGTGGCTGCTAGCAAGAATGCCAAGCGCATCACCTGCTGTCACAAGGCCAATATCCATAAGCTGACTGACGGCCTCTTCCTCTCGACCTTCTACGAGATGGCCAAGAACTACCCGCAGATCAAAGCGGACGACACCATTGTTGATGACCTTTCTATGAAGCTTGTCATGGACCCCCGCAAGTTCGACTTTATCGTCCTGCCCAACCTGCAGGGTGATATCGTTTCTGATTTGTGCGCGGGTTTGGTGGGAGGGTTGGGAATGGCACCGAGCGCGAATTTGGGAGACAGGATCAACATTTTTGAAGCTGTGCATGGAACCGCGCCGGATATCGCTGGGAAGAATATGGTCTGTTTATGATTCGTCCATGTCCGTATGAGGCTGACCTTATCTCAAAAAGGCCAATCCCACAGCCCTTCTCATGTCCGGCCTCATGATGCTCCGCCAACTCGGCATGGGCGACCGCGAGGACGCTATTCAGAAGGCCCTTGAGGTTACACTTGGCAATGGCGAGCGCACGGGAGACCTTGCACAGATCCCTGGCCGCTCTCCGCTCGGCACAAACGAGTTCGCATCCGCCATCATCCGCAACCTCCCGGAAAGCGCCAAGCAAGACTTCTTCTTCGTCCACAAGTTCGTCCCGCCTACCTTGCCGGCTCACAACCCTCAGCTGCTGACGCCGCGCGATAAGTCCAAGGAGAAGTCGGTTGGGATTGATATCTTCGTCGACACGGAGTTGTTGCCGGCGGTCGTGGCGGAGGAGATCAAGAGCCTGGTGCCGAAGGCGAGTGGGTTGGAGCTTGTGATGATCTCGAACAGGGGCACGCAAGTGTGGCCGACGGGTTCGCTGTACACGGAGGTAGTGAACTATTACCGGTGTAGGCTGGAGGTCAGGGATGAGGTCAAGGCGAAGGGGAACGCAGAGAGCATGGAGGCGGCGCTGTTGGCGACGGCGGCGACTTTGGCGAAGAAGTTGAGGGTGTGTTCGACGGAGATGTTGTTGCAGATTAATGGGGAGAATAAGTTCTCGAAGGCGCAGGGGCAGTAGATGATTGTGGGATGCTGCATGGGTTGTCAGATAGACGGTTTTTTTGAAAGGGATATTGCTTTTTTTTTCTTTCACCTCTTTAATCAGTGGATTTTGGACGTAGTGTTTCTGGGCCCTTCGTTGGCGCAAAGTCGGCTACCCTTTTTTTACGCTTTACTCTTTACACTTCTCTCCCTTTCTTATTAAGCCCACCATATCATTATTCTTAGGGCTTTTAGAATTTTGATATAAGCTAATGCTTATGGGTAGCCTTGAGATGGTAGACTACGACGGATTACGTTAATATAAAGAGATACCACTTCTTGCAGCTAAACGAAAGTTTACGGGAAGACCACGATCTCGCCATGGACGTCCTCGGCTTCGGGCAGCTCTTCCGCAGCACGATCAAGGTCGAGGATTTGCCCGACCTCACAGGACAGGTCATCGTTATAACGGGTGCCAGTGCCGGGCTGGGGAAAGTGTCGACCGAGATGCTGGCATCAAGAGGTACAATGGACCTTCGTCCACCCTTTCCTTCCACATGCTAACGCAACTCCACCAGGGGCCGACGTGATCATGGCCTGCCGCAACACCACAAAAGCCTCCGCCGTCCGCGACTCCATCATCACCCGCGTACCCGCTGCCAAACTAACCGTCATGGAGCTCGACCTCACCTCCCTCGCATCTGTCCGCAACTTCGCCCTCCAGTTCACCACCTCGCGCCCTTCCCGTCTCGACGTCCTCCTATGCAACGCGGGGATCATGGCCACACCGAAACGAACCATGACGGCTGACGGCGTCGAGCTCCAGACGCAGTCGAATCACCTGGGACACTTCTACCTCACTGTCCTTCTCCTCCCTCTGCTGAAGAGGACGGCGGAGGCCCAGGGTGGAGCGAGAGTCGTGTTCGTCTCCTCCGCCGGCCACCTGTTCCCGAACCCGTCACCTTTGGACTTGAAATCCGCCACCGACCCGAAGGCGCGCGGGTACTTCTCCTACGGCACCTACGGCCGCACGAAGCTCATGAACATCCTTATGACTCGGGAGCTCCAGCGCCGCTGCGACGCCTTGCTCGACGGCACCAAGAGTCGGATCAGAGTGAACTGCTGCCACCCGGGGGTGGTCGAGACGGAGCTTTACAAGTCCGCCAGCATGATCCCCGTTTGGCTCGTGTCGCGCATCGCGGGGCTCGTGATGATGAATGAGCGCAGTGGCGCAATGACTCAGGTGTGGCTGGCGGCGAGCGGGGAGGTCGTGAGGGAGGATTATGGGGGGCAGTATTTCGTGCCGGTTGCGCAGTTGGCGTGGCCGAGTGGGAGGGGAATAGATGGGGAGCTTGGGAGGGAGCTGTGGGAATGGAGTGAGAGGGTTGTGGAGGAGAGGGGGTTGAAGTTGAGTCTTTGATAAATGGAGATTAGGCCGGATGAGCTGGGAGGTGTAGCGATGTACAGATGTGGTTAGCGAATTTACATGGTCGCTGTAGTAATCAATGGTGGGAACCGAGGAAGATAGCGCAGTACGTCACTTGATGGTCCTTGGAGATTTTAAAGTGCTTTTGAAAAGTGCGGCGGTTTCGATTGAAAGTCACTCTATTTATCAGAAATGCTAATCGAAACCATGTCCGTTACGAACATAAAAAATGAAGATAGGAAGAAACGAAAAAGGTGTGCGAAATGTTCTAAATCAGAAAGTGAACGAAGTAGCGACGATCATGGCGCTGCGGGTGAAAATCTGTGCTTGCGCGGAGTAAAGTGTTTACTGGCCAAGCTTCATGCCGCAGTTGGTGCACTGGGTGATGTCCTGGCCCGGCGGGCAGCAGCAGAAGTTCCATGGGAAGCAGAAAAGGCACAGAGCGAGGTCCTTCATCGACTTTTTGCGTTGATAATGGGGAAAAGGGAAAGCGAGGTAAAGTCGTTAGGTCTTAATAATGCGGGCTGACATGGACATTGGACGACCCTTTCGACCTCTTTTTCAACTTCATTCACACGCAAACGCATATGCACCACCATTATCCCGTCCAAGGCCACAGGGAACATTCAACCCTTTGTGGTGAACTCACGCACTCCTTCCCCGCTCCATCTTGACCAAAGTCTTCATCACGTTGCGAGTACACGAAAACTCACCCAAGAGCCGGTCGGGACAAAGTTGTGCTGGCAAGCGCCGCCGCCCTGGACGTACATGGTCTGCACGGGGGCCTGGCCCTGCATCGGCTGGGCGTAGATCGGCTGGCCGGTCTGGTCGAACTGCTGCTGCTGCTGCATGGTGAGTGTTGGTGAATTGGAGAAAATGGAGGGGATTTGTCGCACAAGCAAATTGGCTGAAACTGCCTCTCAGGAAAACGTACAAGCCACTTTTGGACCACATACGGTCATATAGACACATCTGCCCCAGAACTGCATGCATCGATGGCCGAGCCCGGTTATGGCGTGTGACTCAAGTTCACATACAGAAATGTGCGTGGGTTCGAATCCCACTCGATGCACACAAATTTTAATTTTTTTTCTTGAATTTGTTTGCACATAAAAAGTAATAAGCATGGAGGAGGATGGTTTTAACAATGGAGATGAACGATGGTTAAGTCGGCCGATGAAGACAGATGAGGTGAACACTTTTCTTTTAATGTAATTTCCTTCATCTTCACCAGCATTTCTTCTTTTCGACTTGCACGTCGCTGGTTTGTTTTAAATAGGCAGGTACATTGAAGGGGGTTTCTTGTTCTCTGTGCCTCAGTCTTCCTTTGCTTGGACAGCAGCATCAACGCCAAGACCCATTGTCATCGCAACTGCTCGAATGATGAAGGGGCGGCATGTCAATGATGGAGCGGCCCTTCACGCCACCCAGTGTCATTTCAGCAACAGATGGGTTTCACTCAGTCAGCCAACTGATTGACTGAGTTATGCCATCCATCCGTGCGCGTAGGCCTTGGCGTATGGACCGCAGGCACACGGCGGCCATCCTTCATAACTTCATAAGGCCGTGAGGTCCGTCGCTCGCCCACCATTCTGTACCTTTCCAGTAATCCGCCGTCATCACCTACCATGATTGCCACCACCCTCTTCGCCCTCACCCTCGCGACCGCGACCTTCGCGCTCCCCAATGGCGCGCCTAAGTGCCAAATCATCCCGACCGCCATCACCAACGGCCACAAGACCGCGGCCTCCTCCCTCGGCAACACCTTCATGGTTCAGTCGATGACCTACACGCCCGGCGGCCCACCCATACCCGTCATGATCGCCGGCGGTCAGACCTTTCAGGGCATTCTCGTGTACGCGACCCCAGGCACGACGCAGGACTCCACCATCGCGCCCAACGGCGTCCCGCAGCACGTCGGTACCTGGGCCGGCGCTGGCCTGCGTGCGCAGACGGCGAGCGCGTGTCAAGCCGTCGGTGTGATGAACGACAACGCGATGTCCACGGTCACGCAGGCCGCGCCGCTCAAGAACGTGGGAGGGGCGAACGCGCCGTATGTGATGATGTTCACTCCGCCAGCCACCGATGTCGGGCCCGTCACGCTGAACGCGGTCTTGTCGGTCGGGACGAGGAACACACCGTGGGGCGTCGTGCCTTCCATCACGCTGATGCCGGCCGCCGCCGCTGGGGCTGCTGCAGGGGGCATGGCCGGCGCAGCTGCTGGCGCGGCTGGAACGGCTGCTGGAGCCTCGACCGCCGCACCCGTGGCGGCTGGTGGGATGACTGCTGCTGGAGCCGCTGCCGGTGGAATGGCGGCGGGGGGGGCTACAGCCGCCTCGTCTGCAGCCGTTGGTGGGGCGGCTGCTGCATCTGCTCCCGCCGCCGCTGCTACCACCAAGGCCCAAACCACCGCTGCAGCCGCCGCTTCGACCAAAGCAAAGGCCAAGACCGCCGCAACGACGACCGCCGCTGCCGTCGCGGCCAACACCGCCGTGGCTCCTTTGTACGCCACCGCCGCGGCCGCCGTCCCGATCGACGCTGCCGCCAACGTTATGATGGCCATGCCGACTGCCACCGCGCCAGCCCCGGCTGTGGTGATGCCTGCGATGGCTGGAGCGGCTGTTCCCGCTGCACCTGTTGCAGTCATGCCGGCCGCGCCGGCAGCTCCGGCGATGACCGCGGCGCCTACGGCTACAAAGAAAAAGAACGCTGCGGAGGCAGCCATCACGAGCTTCCTGGCGGGACTGGAGGCGGAGCTGAGAGCTGGGTTGGCGCAGATTCAGCTCAGGAGGCGTTAGAAGTGCGGTGGTTGATGGGAGTCGATATCAAGGACATTATTCTTTCTGTGTATTTTCTTCACGTTTTTGCCCTAATCTTATCCTTATCTTGTATCTTTGCATAATCCTGCGCACCTCACCCACTTCTTCATTTCTTTCAATCTTTCACCTGCTTACATATCTCTTTGAGCGACCTTTCGGTATGAGCTTGTACTAATATCTCACTCGTGCATACCTGCAAATAATATAACGCATATGGCTTGCAACCTTGAAAGGTTTCTCTCGCTGATGTTTTCAACCGCATTCGGGACTCAATAACAAACAAAGGAGACGGCTGCAAATGACTTGACTTTATATTCATCTTTCTATGACATTCAGGGAAGACGACGGTTCTAGAAGGCTGTTGCGATGCCAAGTACTGAAGCTTAAATAGTTCACCCAACATATTAGTCCTGTAGGTTCACCCAACATCTTAGTACTGTAGGTCAAAGAAATCTGGGCGCTTTACCATTCTGCTGTATAAAAAGAGGAGTGACGTTTATATACTTCGATAATGATTACCAGTTCGCCGTGCTTGAAGGTCCACTTCCACTTCCGTGAACCATCATTAAAGGTGGTCAAAAACCATCCATTCCAATCACTCGCCCAACACCATGGCTGCTGCCGGAGGAGTCGACAAGGTGCTGGCGAAGCTTGCAAAGTCTGGTGAGTAGGCGCCGCGGCAGGCGTCTTTGTATGGTGGAAGGCCGCTGATCAAGTGGAGCGAGCATTCGCTGAGGGACGCATCTTTGTCTCCATCGCACGGCCGGTCTGGACATGACCGCTATCAGGACTGAACGTCTTCCCTGATCCACGACTAGCTCGGCGATTTCTGATCTTGATTCCATGCAGCCGACGATGGGAACTATTACGAGGCGCATCAGATGTACCACTCGGTCTGCCAGCGGTATGTTCGTCCCTTATACCTTCTCCACGTCAAGAATCATGGCTCATCTCATCCGTTAAATAGATACATGAAGCAGAAGAAACCTGAGCAAGCCATCGCCCTCCTCCACTCCGGCTCCCTCACGCTCCTCCGCCACAACCAGGTCGGATCCGGAGCCGACCTCGCGACTCGTATGGTGGCCATCTATGAATCGGAATCCATTCCCGTGGATGACGCGTCGCGCGCGAGGATCATCGAGATCTTTCGCGCGTTTCCATCGGCGGACCCGGGCGGGGGTGGGGGAGGCAGTTATCTGGCGGATTTCGTGAGGGGA